TCTTCTCTCCGGTCCTTAGAGGGTCTGTGGGAAAGAAGGAGAAGCAGAAACTAAAGGGGGTTCACGCAGCAGAGGCGTGGGCATCGCTGACTGCCCGTTAGTGCCGAGGAGCGGGCAGCAGCCCCCTCGGGTGGCGTGGTTCCCGCGGCCGCTTCTCCCACTGACGCTCGGACTCCCCGCTGTGTCCTCCCAGATGTTCCAGCACCTGATGCAGAAGCGGAAGCACATCCAGTGGACGTACGGGCCGCTGACGTCCACTCTCTACGACCTCACGGAGATCGACTCCTCGGGGGATGAGCAGTCTCTGCTGGAACTTATCATCACCACCAAGAAGCGGGAGGTAGGGGTGGTTGGGTGGGAAAGCAGCCAGGGAGGGGAGTCGGGGTCTCTGAGCTGCTTGCTCTCTTTCCTTTCCGCTGAAGGCTCGCCAGATCCTCGACCAGACACCAGTGAAAGAGCTGGTGAGCCTCAAGTGGAAGAGATATGGGCGGCCATACTTCTGCATGCTGGGCGCCATCTACCTGCTGTACATCATCTGCTTCACCATGTGCTGCATCTACCGCCCACTCAAGCCCAGGACCAGTAACCACACCAGTCCCCGGGACAACACCATCCTACAGCAGAAGCTGCTTCAGGTGACATCCGAGGAGCAGCAGAGCTTCAGGGCAGGCGTCAGCCCTCTGCCCTTTCTCAGACCTGCGTCATGTTCCTGTTTGACAACCCCCACTTCTCCCCATGCCCAGCTCCCAAACACTTAGGCACAGACTCAACATACAGGTGGAAACACACCTGCGCTCAAAAAGCAGAGTCCGAGATAGCCAAACCTAACAGGTTATAAAGAATCTGACAGGACCAGTGACCCTACACACTGGACACTGACTTGTGCCCAGAGGCAGGCAGGGCAGATGTATGGAAGCCCTGAGTGTTCTGACCGTGTTTCCCTCTCAGGAGGCCTACGTGACCCGCAAGGATGACATCCGCCTGGTGGGGGAGCTGGTGACCGTCATCGGAGCTGTGATCATTCTGCTTGCAGAGGTGAGGTGTGGGCAGGATCTAGGATGAGGCTGCTTGCCCCAGGGATCCAGCCTGAGCCCCAGGCTGCAAGTACCTTAGTGTCTTCTTGGCCCCTCTCCAGATTCCAGACATCTTCAGGGTGGGGGTCACTCGCTTCTTTGGACAGACCATCCTTGGGGGACCATTTCACGTCCTCATGTGAGTCTCTCCCCCAATCCCTTCCCTCCCTCCCTGGATTCCTGACCCCTTGGACAATCCCTGGAGAAAATTAAGTCCAGAGAGCCTTCTCCAGCGATGCGTGTTGCCCTGTGTCATTGAACTTGCGAAGGCCAAATCTGAGTGTGTGGGTGGTGCCTCCCTCAGTCGCTCTTGCTCTTACGTCCCCCAAGATAATCCCAGTGTCCTCTCACACCCACCTCTGCTCCCCACCCTCAGCATCACCTACGCCTGCATGGTGCTGGTGACCATGGTGATGAGGCTCACGAACGCCAGTGGGGAGGTGGTGCCCATGTCCTTCGCGCTGGTGCTGGGCTGGTGCAATGTCATGTACTTCGCCCGAGGATTCCAGATGTTGGGCCCTTTCACCATCATGATCCAGAAGGTCTGTGCCTCCCCCCAAGCTTTCTACAGAGAGGTCCCAGAGCAGGGGCTGCTGCAAACATTTTCGTAAAGGGCCAGATAACAGATTTGCAGGCTCTGCGAGCCGCATATGGTCTCTACTGCATATCCTTCTCCTCCGCCTTGTTGTTTTCTCAATGCTTTAAAAATGTAAAAACCATTCTTAGTTCGAGGGCCGTGCCCAAACAGGCCAAGTGGATCTGGCATGCAGCCATAGTGTCTAACCCCTGGAGGGTGGAGCTGCTGGGCTTCACGGGGCTAGACGTGTGAGAGGCTGCAAGGAGCAACTGCTCAGGGGACCTGGGTGGAGGTATTTTCCTTCTCCTCCTCCCTTTAGATGATTTTTGGCGACCTGATGCGGTTCTGCTGGCTGATGGCCGTAGTCATCCTGGGCTTTGCCTCAGGTAAGTCATCTGTCTGGGATGGAGCCCTGGCGGGGAGAGGTTAGAGGAGCCCAGAGAGCGCAGAATGGCTGTGGATAAACCTGGGGGGAGGTGGGAGGGAAGGCCAATATCCAACAGGATACAAGGCTGTTATGTCTGAAGATGGAACATCCCTCGGAGGGGAGACAAAGCTGGGAGTGTTATGGCGACGTGGGTCCTGGGATCAGGATAAGGCATCCTGAAAGTAAGGGAATATCGGAACGCAAAGGACAGAGCCATGGAGGGCCGGAGATGAGGGGCGCGGCACTGAACTGGGCAGCAAAGAGCTGGGTGCGGTCCAGTCCCGTATATGGTTGCCATGGTAACTCTCCATCCCCTTGGGTGGAGCAGCCTTCTATATCATCTTCCAGACAGAGGACCCCGACGAGCTGGGCCACTTCTACGATTACCCCATGGCACTGTTCAGCACCTTCGAGCTGTTCCTCACCGTCATCGATGGGCCTGCCAACTACGACGTGGATCTGCCCTTCATGTACAGCATCACCTACGCTGCCTTCGCCATCATTGCTACGCTGCTCATGCTCAACCTCCTCATAGCCATGATGGGTGATACTCACTGGCGGGTGGCCCACGAGCGAGATGAGCTCTGGAGGGCACAGGTGAGCCCCCTGGCGGCCGGGAGGGTTACTGCAGGTGGTTCCCTCCCAGCCAGGGACCGGGGCTGAGCTCGCACAGAAACAGGGTATTTTGACCCGACATGTGTCTACGTGGTCGCTGCGCAGTACACAGAATAATGCAGAGTGTCCACAAGAGCTGGACTGGCACTAAAACGGAGCAGTACTTGGATGGCTGAAAAGAATCCTCATAGTTTTCTCAAAAAGTAAAACCTCAGGCTTTTCTAGAAGAGTCCACAAGAAATCAACCAACAAGAAATAAAGCTAATGGTGACTAAAAGGACATTTAGTAAATTAGTCTGTAAAATCGGACCCAGAAAAACTGGACGGGTTTTAAAAAAATGCTACAAAAACTTCCCAGAGTAGCAGAAGTAATCTTCAGTCAGATCATCATGATGGAGACAGAAGACCGTTCCATGAATCAAATCATTTGAAAATATACTTTAGAAAATAATTTCAGCAGAATTAAAAATGAAAATCCCCTAAATTGAATGGCGCCTAGCTGTGCTGTGTAGAAAACAGAGTTAAAAGGCCCTAAATTGGCTAAATGGGGTTTCCTCAGGAAAATATGTTTTCCATGCAAATGTATTGATATTAGATTTCTCAGGAGGATGTTAGCATTTTTAAATGGCATTTATGTCGGTAGGGTCAAAATATCCTGAGGCCTTGAGGATCCCTTTCTGTTTGCTTTGCCCTCCTTCCTGTCTCCTTGGAGCGAGTTCTCTCAACCTCCTGCAGGATCAGTACGGATGTCAGGTCGCCGGGCAGAGAATTGTGGGGCTCATGTCCCATTGACTCTCTCCCACAGAAGAGGGTCAACCAAGCTGACTCCACCACTCCCCGCAGCTTGGGGGTGTCGTTTGTCCCTTCCTGGAGACCATGAGCTCCTGCCTTTCCTAGCGATTGCTAAACGGTCCTTCCTCTGCCCAGCACCCTTTCCTGTCCCCACCCCTCTCTCTCTGTACCCAACCTCTGACGGCCCCACCTGTCCCCACACACAGGTGGTGGCCACCACAGTGATGCTGGAGCGGAAGCTGCCTCGCTGCCTGTGGCCTCGCTCGGGGATCTGCGGGCGCGAGTATGGGCTGGGGGACCGCTGGTTTCTACGGTGAGTGACCGGGGCAGGGCCGGGCGCCCCTCTGCTCAGACAACCTCCCGCTCCCCGGGGCCCTGTGCAGGCTGTCCGCTCCCTGGGCCCCTTGCCCACTGACCTGTGTTGACCTGAGGTCCCCACACCGGATCCCTGCTGCTAAGGGAGGGGCCCCACGAGGTGCTTGGGGCTGCAGCTGAGGGGCTGGAGCTCCTGTGCCCACACCAGCCGCACACGAGGAAGAAGGCCAGTCATGGCGGGAGGGGGTGAGCGCAGGACACGGGCAGGGCTCGGAACCAGCCCTTCCATCCCCGGCTGCCTCTCATGGCCTCCTGCTCCACAGGGTGGAGGACAGACAGGATCTCAACCGGCAGCGAGTGCGGCGCTATGTGCAGGCCTTCCACAGCCAGGGCTCCGACGACTTGGACAAAGCCTCAGAAAAACTGCAGCTGGGCCACCCCTTCAGCCCCCACCTGTCCCTCTCTACCCCCTCAGTGTCTCGCAGTACCTCCCACAGCAGCACCAACTGGGAGAGGCTCCGGCAAGGCACCCTGAGGAGGGAGCTGAGGGGGCTGACCAACAGGGCTCTAGAAGATGGGGAAGGCTGGGAATATCAGATCTGAGCGCGCGCTGCCCCGGCGGCTGCTCTCCTTTTCCTGGGGGCATCAGAAGACACCACCAAGACACCTAGAGGTCTGATCTCCCAGGTCCAGGGGGAAGCAGAATGCACTCTGAGGAACGCCGGCTGGGAGTAACGGCCCCACGTACCACTACTTGCTCAGCTCTGGGGCGAACAGAAACCAAGGAGGGAGGTGGCCCTCACCTCACCCTGTGCACAGGGCTGGTGCCAGCAGGGGGACCAGGCTGCGTGGCTCTTCGGCCTTACGGAAGTACTCTGCACTGTCAGAGCAAAGCACTTTAAGGACAGGCTTGCCGTCTCTGCCCCAGTGTTCCGGTGGGAAGGGGAGAGCCCTTCCCAGGGTGCTCCAGACAGTTGGGAGGGAGACTTGTGGAAAGCGTGAGTGAGGGGGGACAGGTACCGCTTTGGGGGGGGGGTGAAGCTGGTTGAGCCTTGCCACCTTCTACCTTCCAATAAAGTCGTTCCCTGCTCTGCACCCTTGTGCCTTCAGCTGGGTGGTGTCGCCTGCGGGCAATGGCCCTGCGTTCCTCCTCCAAGGCCTTCCCAGCCCTTCCTTGCAGACTGAGGTCTCACCACACCTCCAACTTGCAAAGTTTCTTCTTTCCCTTTAATGCGGGGGGGGAGGGCGGAGGAGGGCGGAGGACTAGGGAGTGAAGTGTCCAGAGGGTTGGGTGTAGTGTGGCGGGGTCCTCTTGCCGAGGCCATGATGGAGACGGGCTCTAGTGTTGCACGGTCACTCCCTGGACCTGTGTCTGGGGCTGGGACATAGGCATCGTCCACTCACAGCTGCCCGCCCAGGCCTCAGACCTCCACTGAGCCCAGCTCCCTCAGGTGCTGCTGCAGGAGCTGGATATGGTGCAACAGCTTCTTCTGGTGGCCAGCCAGCATGATGCCCAGGGCGGGCAGGTCTCTGGTGGTGGGGAAGGAGTGGGTCAAGTCTGCGCCGGCTTCTCTAAGATCCCCGGCAGGACCCCTAGCCTGGAGCCCAGCGGAACCCCCACCCGCCTCTCCCCGCTTACTCCAGGCTGAGCTGAACCACATCACTGAAGGTGCAGAGACCAAACTTGGAGAAGTTGTCTTGGTAGCACTCCAGTCCGATGGCCGAAAGCCAGGCCTGGGGTGAGTCCAGAGAAGGAAAGTCCAGAGCCACAGGGTTCAGAAGGGCCTGGGAGGGTCTAAGTGGGGGAAGGGGGGGGTCAACATTTCCCCTTCATCTTAGCCCCCTCTCCTCAGTTTGCTTTACGGTTTGCATCTACCCTCCCTGCTTGTCCCGGGCTCCAGCCCCAACCTCCAGACCTGTCCTCAGGGCCCCCGTCAGCCTGCAGAGTGTCTGGCTTTCGGATCATCTTGTCAAACGCAGCCACCAGCTGGTCAAAATGAGGCCGCTGGGTACGGTCCTTCTGCCAAGTGTCTAGCATAAGCAGATGTAGTCCAGGAGGACAGCCTGGAGGTGGGGGAAGCCGGAACTCCTGCTCTATTGCATTTAGCACCTGGGGGTTAGTAGAAGAACATGGTGATGGGAAGCTATTGCTGGCGGAAAGGCATATTCCGTCTGTTAGGTCAGCGGGTGGGCTGGGATCAGGTGGAGCATGCAGTCGGAGTGGGGAAGGAACTTAAAAATACAGAAGCCAAGACCACTTAAAATTTCAGTGGATCAGAGAAGAAAAGCTAAGAATGTAGGAGCTTGTGAGGCTGGTGGGTTGGAAAGATGGGGGTGGGGTATCAGCAATGTCTAGGTCAAGAGCTCACCTCCTGGTCACTCATGTCCCAGTAGGGCCGCTCTCCATAACTCATCACTTCCCACATCACTATCCCAAAGCTCCACACGTCACTGGAGGTGGTGTGTTTTCCGTGGGCAATGACCTCTGGGGCTGCCCACCGAAGCATGCAACTTGGGCCCTGAGGCGTGGGGTTAGAAGGAACGATAGCAATAATTACAGCAGTGGTCACGTTTATTGAGCAACTCCTATGGGCTCCGATGTCCGCCCAGGGTACGCTCCTGGAGGGAGCCCGCGCGGGCTCCATTCCCTTAGACACCACGACACACACACCCCCCGCCCCCCCGGTGGTACGCTCCCCGGAGCCTGGCTCATCCGCCAGCACGCTCTGGAAAAGGCTGAGCCCCCGAGATGTGCTCTCACCTGAGGACTGTGGCCAAGACGAGCCACTTTGCACACCAGGTGGCTATTCACCAGCACGCTGTGGGCGGAGAGCGCGCGGTGCACGAAGGCGAAGCTGGACAGGTACTGCATGGCAGCCGCTACTCCCCGCTGCATGGCCACCAGCTGCAGGCTGCTGAACTGGCCCTCCCGCTGCTGCTGGGGGGCGGGGGGCAGAGGTCAGCCGCCAGCAGCCGGGCGGGGAGCCTGCGCACACTGCGCCGTGGACATCAGCAGGAGAGGGAGAGCGGCTTAGGCAGTCAGAAAATGGCCTGGGAAGGAAGGCTGAAGACCAACACAGGTGGGGCAGCACAGATGCAGGGCTCTGTCTCCTGTCTCCGGGACAGTTGAGAACTGCAGACGCCCCTGGACCCAAGGCCCCCCCGCCCCGCCCACCCCCAGGCCAGCACTGACCCTGAGAAAGCTGTCCAGGGGGCCCAGCTCCATGAGCTCCGTCAGCACCATGAGGGGCCGGCTCTTGGTGACCACGCCCTCCAGCCGCAGGATGTTGGGGTGCTGGAACTGGCCCAGCACTGCAGCCTGGCCCAGAAAGGTCATCTGTAGGCTCTCAGCACCTCCAGCCCACAGGGCCTGGATGGCCACGGCTTGCTCCCGCCGTCCCCGGGGCTGCAGGCGGCCCCTGCGTACTTCTCCAAAGGAGCCTGGGAGAACAGGTGTAGGAGGGAGGCTACTGAGGAAGGACCCTGGGCTCGCGGCGTCATGCCCTGTGTAGAGGGGCTCCTGCCGGGGAAGTCTCACGGGGGCTCCAGTCCCTCCGGTCCCCTTCCTCTACCCCCTGCACACCTGCCCCAATGACCTCCTCGATCTTGATATATGCAGGATCCACCTCCCTGGTAAATTCGCGGATGGCCTGGCAGGGGTCCTCGTATGTGGAAGGGTCGATGTAATACTTCACCCCAAGCCCTGTAGGCAAATGGGGTGCGTGATGAGGGTGTGGTACGAGGCCAGGCTGCCCCCACACCCCAGGCATGCCCTCTTACTTACATCGGCAGGGCCGAGGGGTTCCCCTAGACTTCGGGGAACCTAGGCTTCCTGCTGTGCTCAGCCCCCAGCCCCCCCACCCCCACACCTGGACTGCTGGACTGCTGCAGCTGCTCTGTGTAGCCTGTCCCACGCCGCTTCCTGGGGACAAACCAGAGTCCTGGAATGACACTCCCATCCCCCCCCCCCCCCATGCAGCCCACTCTCCAGCCAGGGATCTGTGGAGTGAGGGCTGCTGGATGCCTCCTGCCCGCCTCGCATGGGCCCAAGGGAAGGGGCCCGGTGGTGGGAGGTGGGCCCTGGACGTGGGTTCTGCAATGGGCTTTGGGGCTGCCAGGATGTGGGGTGGTGCAGCAGGGTGAGTGGGGTGGGGACACGGCTGGGGGGCGCCTCACCTCCGGAAGACAACAGCCAGCACGGTAATGGCCGCCAGCAGGAGGAAGGCCAAGGCCCCCAGGATGGACCCGATCACCAAGGAGAGTCTCTCTGGGAGCTGGGTAGACAGCTCACCTGAGGAGGCAGCCAGCCAAGATCACACGTGGGCAAGGCCTCACAAGCACGTGCACCTACACCCCCCCCCATGCGCCCACTCACACCCACCCACAGACCCAAAGGCCAGCTAGTCAGCCAGGAGACTCTCCTTACAGCCTCCTGTCCCACACGGCCTCTAATTTGGAGGGTGCTGGACCAGGGTTCAAGGCCTGGGGGGGGGGCGGGGCTGGGCCTCTCCTCCCTACCCCGTGGCGCTTCTCCACCTCATCCAGGCTTCCTCTCACCTTGAGGCAGCGTCTGGAAATAGACCTTGCCGCCATAGGGGCCGTGGCCTGCGGCAGTCCGCGCCCGCACTTGGAAGCCATAGATGTGGCCAGGGCTCAGCTGTGTCACGGTGGCTGTGTTGGTCTCGCTGGTCAGGGTGAACGAGTGGGATTCATCTTCTGCCTGGGGGTGACAGCCATTCACTCCCTGCTGCCCAACCCCAGCTCCTGACCGCTGCTCCATCACCCTCAGGCTTCCTGGCGCCTCTCTGTCCTGGCCCACCTCCTCCATCTCTAGCCCCACTGTGGGGCCCTGCGAGCTCCCAGCAGCCCTGCTGGGCAGCCCCCACCTCCCCACCTGGTCGTAGTAGCGGAGCTGATAGTCCAGGATGTTCCCGTTGGTCTGGTCCGGCTGTGGCCAGGACACCGTGATGCTGTTGGATGCCCGGCTCACCTGGTGCAATGCAGGGACTGCAGAGGGAACTGGGGTGGGGGGGGGGCGGTCAGCGGGAGGGTTTCCAGGGGCCCGGCAGCAGCAGTAGGGGAGGGGCTTCTAAGGAGGCAAGGTAAGTAAGGCATCAGGCAGAGCGGAAGGCTCACCTGCGTGGCTGGTGCTGACATTGATGGCGGCAGCCTGGGGAGGGTCGGGGCTGAGCTCTGACACCCCATTCACAGCCTGCACCTCCAAGATGTAGGGCACATGTGCCCGGAGCCCCCCAACTAACACTCGGCTCTCGGTCAGGCCCCTCTGGCGGGGGTCGAAGTGCACCTCATCCCTGCAGCGGCGACAAGCACCCCCGGTGCCCGTGCCCGGCTCCTGGTGGCCTCCACATTCCTTGCACACGACATTGAAGAGCAGGTCCCCTCGTCCCCCCAGCTCCTGAGGCAGGCGCCAGTGCAGCATGAGCACTGAGCCTTGCACCTCGAACCAAAGCTCCCGGGGAGCCGATGGAGGGCCTGGGGAAGCCGGGGGGGGGGGGCAGTGAGAAGGGCCAGGAAAGGAGGGAGTGGTGGGAGTCGAGGTGAAGGAGGAGGGGTGGGGATGATGGAGGAAGGAAGGAGGCAGGGGAGGGGGGTGGTCCAGAGGGGAGGAGACGGAGAGCATGGGGTGGGGACCAGAAAGCCACGGGGGCGGGTGGGAAGACAGGCAGGAGGTGGGCCAGTGTGGATGGGGTCAGGGAGAGAAGCCGGAGAGTGGAGGGAGAAAATGAACAGGAGAAAAGTCACTGCAAATGTGAACCTGCCCCACCGTGTTGCCTTCAGCCTCCCCTTCTCTGCCCGCCCCCCAGTCCCATTTCCATCCCTGGGGCTGGTGGGGGACTCACCGGTGCAGGGGGCCTCTGGGGGGTCTGAACTGGCCCTGTAGAAGCCCTTACGGCAGGGGCAAACAGGGGCTGCGGGATCGGGGGCATGGCTGCGGGGAGGGCACGGTAAGCAGGGCATGTTCCCAACCAAGGCCTTGTAGGACCCCTCAGGGCAGGCTGGGGGGACAGAATGGGGCAGAGACATTAGGCTCACTCCATCCACCGCCTCCTGAGCCCCACCACGCCTGCACACAGACATGCTCCCAGCCTTCCATTCCCCAGGGCTCTTTCTCCAATCGTCCTGGACCTACCCCCTCTCTTCCCTTCTTCCCTCTTTCCTTCCCTCAGGCAGAGATTACTGGGGCAGAACTGCATTTCTGCTGATGGAAAAAGTGAGGTGCAGTGGGCTATGGGCAAGCCAAGCACCAGGTAGAGGCGTCTGGCCTGATTGTATGACTTCCCTGTGCAGAGGCCTTCTGCAGCCTCCACCCTGCAGCAGAAGGATTCCCCTTAGCTGGTCTCCACTGCCTGCTCCTACCCGCATCCTGGTCACCTGGCGCAGTGATGATCCCTTCCTAACTAGATGGCAAATAGGGACAGAGGACCCATCCCAAAATAACCGAGGAGTTTAACTCCTTTTGATCTCCATCCCTTCTCGGGCCTGCAGCCCTAGGATGCTCAGCAATGGCTGTGGAAGTCTCCAGAAGGTTCCAGAAATTTGAGATGAGCATATGACACCAAATTTGTGTGCTTTAGAAAATAAATCTGGAGAAAACAAGAGTCCTTTCCTAAAATAGCTTATTCCTGACCTTTTGGGGACAAAATGAAGTTTGGGGTGTTCAGGAGAGGTGTCCCAAGGTTGGGGGCCAGGTGGGGAGGTCTTGGGCAAGTGCACGGGAGCAGAACCTCACCTTGGCAGGCCTTGTCTCCGCGGGCTGGCTGGTGCCCTGGCTGACAGCGGCAGCCGCCAACCGCTACCATCCACTTGCCCTCCCCATTGCAGTGCAGCCTGGGGGGGCTACCCCCTGCCTGGCCCCCGCCTCCATCCTCCTCTGGCTCTGCGTGAGCCACACAGGTGCCCACGGCTGCCACCAGGGAGGCGCCCCCGGCCCCACTGGCCTGCGTCTCAGGGAAGGAGGCGAAGGCGCGGAGGACGGACGGGCAGGTGTAGGAGAAGAGCTTGACCGCCACGAGGGCCAGGCAGGCCCCCGTGTCCTGGAAGGCCACGTAGAAGCCACGCTGGGTGAGGGGGCCAAAGCTCCTCTCTTTGACATTGAGCTGCAGCCCGGCGCGCTGCTGCCCGGCCCCGCGCGGGCCCACCGCCCACGCCGAGGAGGCGGGGAAGCTCTCGTCCGCTGCAATGGTGTCCACCTTGGTCCAGCGTTTGAGGTGCCAGGCGGAAATGCTGTCGGGGCCATCGGGCTCCTCGGCCTGGCGGTAGTAAAGGGTGAAGGTCTCCCGGCAGGTGCCGCCGGCCACGCCCAGGCTGGCGCATGCCCGCACGGAGAAGTGCAGTCGGATGTGTGCCCTCTGCGCGCCTCGTCGCTCCACAAAGTGTGTCTGCAGCCAGTTGTCCTGCCCGGTGCCTGGCGGGGCCCCTGCCACGTGGCATGCCTCGAAGGTCCGAGTCAGGCGTCGCTGGTCGTCCAGAACGCTCACTTCATCCCACTGCAGGGAGGGCGGGGAGACCCTGTTAGCTGGCAAAACCGGGTAAGTAGACCCCAAAGTCCTGCTCCTCTGGGGGAAGGAGTCTTGCTCCGTTCGTCTCTACCCGGGGCTTCCTTCCCAAATCCCACACAAGGAGCCAGGTGGAGGAGGTGCACCGGGTGAGGAATGAAAGAGCGACACTCACCCCACCTGGTGGGTAGGTGAGCCAGCCAATCTCCGATGTCTCTCCAGTGGTGTCCAGCAGTACCTCTGGCCAGAGATAAGAAGGGGGTACTCAGCAGCCAAGCCTCCAGCAAGGGCTGCTAACCCTTACCCCACCCCAGGAGGAAAACAGGAATTTTCCCTCCCTGGTCCTTTTAATTCACCAGCAGGGGCACAGCTCTGTGTCAGGAGCCTTTCCCTGGAACCCTCCCCATTCCTTTCCCCTTCTTGATGTCTTCACTCTTTTCTGCCTTTTCTGAGTCTTTCCCATTCCCCACCTGTGCCGGCAGCTAGGGATTCTTCAGTCTCCCCTCCCTCTTACCTTCCAGTGCCAGAACTGAGGACCCCAGCACCAGGACCCAGAGACTGCACACCATGCCCGCCACTCCGCTCCCTGACCGGGCAGCCCCCTCAGCAGCCATGGGGCGTCTTCGGGGCTCCCACCATTGCCCTGGCCACCACCCTGCTCCCAGGCAGGGCTGCTGCTTTGTAAGACTGGGGTCTGCAGCCAAGCTTGCTTCCTAGGGAGACACACAGGACCAGAAGAAGCGGGTGGCAGGTAACTACACTGCTACACAGATAGCTCACAAACCACCAACCACACGGGAAGGTCCTGTCGGAAGCAGACTTTCTCCTGACCTGTGCCAAGTCCACCATCTTAGAGGGCCATGTGCTAGGGCACTCCCTCCCTACGTCCTGCAGGTGCCGCATCTCTGAGCAGTTCTTACAGCCCCTCCCTCTTAGAGCATAGGCGAGTTCTGGGCCAGTCTTACCCTTTTCTTCTGGGAGGAGCTATTTCAGTTCTTTTTCTCCACTTACTCTCCCTCCTCCTCCTAGAGCCACCCTGTATTGGAAGTCAGAAGATTCTTCTCATTAAAACAAGCAGAGTAGAAGCTACTCCTTCCCTGGGGACTCACGATCCCCCCTCCCCAACACCTCCTGACCCACCTCAGACCTGGACACGCTGGACAACACAGAGAGGCAGTGGAGTGAGAGGGACCACGGAAGAGAGCTGTGGGGTATGATGCAAGGGAAGATGGGAGAACCGGAGCGAGAAGAACATGGGCGCAAAGATCCCATCTGATAAGTGCGCCAGCAGAGAGAAAGGGTAGAGCTACGTGGGTCTGGCATGCCTACGTTTTGTCAGCAATGGTCCTTTCTCCCCAAGGGGCACATTTCCTCGATGCTTACAGAAAAATAAATGGATGTATGTGAAAAAATGCTTCTAGTCTGCTCACAATGAAAGGACAGAATGTGGAAACAACAGTGCCATCTTGTCCTATGAGATTAATAATGCACTGGGTTGAAGAAGGGATGAGAGCTGGGCTCTCTACTCACAGGGCTTATGAGTTTCAAACTGGTGTATCTTCTTAGAGGGACAGTCGCTGATGTCTGTCTAGTAGCTTCACTTCTAAGAGTTTGTCCTTCAGGTACTGCATCCTTAGGTCTGTTTGCAGAGATGTTCAAACAAGGATATTTGCTGCAGAATTGTTTGTAAGGGAAAAGACTGGAAAGCAACTGTCCGTCAATGGGAAGATATTTCATAAATTACGGCACAACCTTAAAAAAGAGTGAGGGCTACTGCTTATGCACTGATTATGAAAAGGATTTCCCAAGTGAAAGTAGTCCATGCAGAACAGTGTCAAGTATGGTCCCCGCTGGTTAATTTAAGGCCATCCATATACAAGCACCCCCTCTGGCTCACAGGCATATGACTGTGGGGGCACGGCTGCTTCCAGGGCCACAGTGAAGACAAATGGGCTCAGACCTTCCTTTGTTCATCGGTCTAGAGATTAGTGGTGGCTGATCTCTCCCCCTGTGACTAAGTCTCAAAAGTCTGTAAGTTGCATGGACCAGAGCAGTCCATTCCATTTATTTCTGTTGAGAAGAAAATAAGAGGCAGGTTGTTCAAAGACATGAACCTGAGAGAGAGAGAGAGAGAGAGAGAGAGGGGAAAGACAGCAGTTGGAAACTGGAATCTGTTTCCACCATGAGAGCTGTAGCCACGTGGCCTGCAGCACTCCTGAAAACTGCACACTTCTCGATGAAGCTGAAACCAAACTATGACACTATTTGACTTTGATCAATCAGAAAATCATAACCGGGTTCCTGCTAATCTAACTTTTCCTGGTAACACAGGCTCTATTGCGAGATGAAGCCTTCGGTGTCACCTGTATGTGGTTATCACGGAAAGGCGCTGATGTTACAGCTGGTGGGCTGATGTATAATGGGCATCAGGCCACTGTCCACTGAAATGCACTTTTCATGCCATTAGAACCCTCCTTGCGAGACAGAGTTTAACTTATAGTGTATGGAGGCAAGCAAGAAGCATTTCCAAATCACCAGGTTGTCCACCTCAAACTTACACAATGTTATATGTCAACTGTATCTCCATAAGGCCAGAAAAAAGGAAGCATTTCTATATGGCAAACGATTCCTAAGTAACAGAGGTTCTTTGCCAATACTGTCCCGAATGCTCCTAGAATCATTCACAGATGAAATGATTCAGAGAAGGACAGGGAGATCGTGAAGTAACAAAGCACGGCCCCATCACCAATGGCTGTTTAATAAATATCCTGAAGTCATAGGTGTTGTATGTACCCCCCAAATGCTCAGTGGCCTACGCTGGAGACATGCTTGACACACCCAGAGCCATAGGGTCTTTAGGAATGCTGTTATCAAGAACTGAAAATGCCAGAAAAATGTCTTTAAACAATGAAAGCTATTCTATCATTTGCCCAGCAGATACGCTCTAAAATAGCCTCTTTCAGTCAGAAGATGGATGGATTCTGGAATCTGTACAAAAAGGAGACGGTAAGCACTGCATCTTCCTAAACTTATAACTAGACAGATAATCATGGAGAAGGAATAATAAACACTTCGGATGCATCTCAATGATTTTTTTTTTTTTTGAGAGACAGCAAACCAAGAGGGAAGATATGTACTGCAGATCCTATCCCCTGTGCTCTATGGAACATTCTAGAAGATGAGGCATGGCAAAGTATTTGCTTTGATGACCCACAATACAAGCAACACAGTAGCTTGTGGCTGCAGCAGGGTGTGTATGCATAGCCTCAGCATGCATCTTAATGACAACATGAAGCTGGCCTCTCTCCAGAGGATCCAGAAAAGGGCAAAAGCAATTACGAAACATGTTAAAGCCACTCAGCTTCTGTCCTCAAGAGGCATCAGAAAGAAAAGAATTAAGTGGAGACATTGCGTGTAGATTGCCACTTTCATAATTGTTAAAATTTTTCTACCAAGAAACAAGATATTCAGTTAAAAAAATGGTTGAGGCTCTTCAAGTGCCCAGAAGTGTTCCTTGCTGTTTGAAGGGACCGCTTTTAGATTTAGATCCAGAGACTGAAGGTTATAAACAAATTCCTTCAGGAAAAAAAAAAAACAAAAAACACACAACTGTGGTTGAGTGAGACTAGGAAGTGAGGTCAATTCTTGCCTGTCAAACAAAACAGATAAATTTGAGCCTTTTATTTTTTAATATATATAAAAAGAACTCGGGTGTACCTCTACAACAAGAATAAAAACAAGAAAAGATGAAACTTTAAGATGTGGAAGAAATTGCTGTCAGCTAATTCCTACTCCTGCAGATTTTTTGGAAACAAGTTTCAAAGGCAGAAACATAAGTGACAAGAACACGCAGCTCCATCCACATGCCTGGAATACTGAACAAGCAGGAGTTAGAACTTGATTTTCAAAGGTGCCTTCAATGGTTGAGGACTAGGGCATCTGTCTGAGCTTAGTCTAGGAGAGCGTCCTGGAAGCAGCCAATGTGTCCCTCCTGAAACACAGAGGGGGACAGGCCTGCTTCAGATTCCTCTTGTCTTCTCTAGCCTGCGAAAGGCATTGGTCAGTGTTTAGAAATCCTCTCACCCACGAAGAGTTGAATACTTACTTCAATCAGGAAAACATTCAAATTTCAGATGTGTATATGGTTTTAAAAATATAACACACCAGAAGCAGCAGAAATGTGGATGGAAAATGGTAGCTCAGAAAATAAGACTGATTTGACAAAATTTCAGATGACAAAAATTGCATTCTATGACTTCACATTTTTTTTCTCAGCTTCTTTTCTACATATATCACTTTACATCTTTTTGCTACAGTAAAGACACTGCATCCACAAGCCTGCTACATTTCTTTGGTTTATAAAAATATGACAGTCCGTAGGCATCAAAATTGTGTTTTGTTTCCAGAAACTGGCAAAGATTAAAGATGTGTAGACTCTTAGCTTATACATCATAGCTTCTGAGTTCTGTTATCTATAAGAATGAAAGATTTAAAAATAAATTAAATGAGTAAATCTGTAGGAATTTAAAAAATTAACTGTCCTCAAGTTGAAATGCTAAATACGACAATTTTATGAACAGAGATGGTTTAAAATAGTTTATGCACCTCAATCCACAAAATGAGTTTTTAAAAAAGTTAAGTAATACAAGCCAAATAAGCTTGGAGGAAGGTATGGCCGAAAATATACTGGCCATTAAAACTGGTTACTGTAGGAGGCAGAAATGAAGGTTTGGCGGGCGGGGAGGGGGGGATTATTAATTCTGTCTTACATATGTTTGAATGGGTTTTCTTGTTACAACGAGCATATCTTATTTTTACAATTAAAACAAAATCTCATAATTATCATCTAAACAAAAAAAAAGGGAAAATATTTTTAAAACCTAGACTAGCATAGCGTATGTTTACATTTTACCCTCCCCTCCCTTTTCTCTCTAGGTTTCAAAACAATCTAGAAATTTTTATCTATAAGGAGAAAGCGGAGATACAGAGGCAGTAGGAGTTGGGAATGAATGAGCAAAATAACTTTTATCCCTGGATTTTCTTTAAGCTTCTCTCTGAAGAAGTTCAAATGGCCCCACTGATGATATCATGCTTCTCTGACTCGGCGTCAAGCAAAGGACTTCGGCTCTAAAGGGGCGAGGGGCACCAGGGGGGCTGGGGACACCTGACGAGGGCATCACTGCAAAGTGAGCCCAGGAAGGAACACTCAGAGAGGCGAAGCAGGCTGCAGGGACCAGCGGGACGAAGGAGGTCCCAAGGGCAAAGGGGCCAATGGTTAACGTGTGGTGTGGCTGCTGAGCTGGCCCTCACACCTGTCAGCCACAGGGTCAGCGTGGGAGGGGTCAGCACCAAGGGCCCTGTCCTCTGTCCTGTTCTGCAGCTGTTAAACGCCCAGGAAATTCCAGTATAATCCTTGCTCAGCCTAATGCTGCTACCCTTTAATCTCCACCTTGGAGATGGTCTCCGTCTCTTGGAGCTCTGTCCGCCCCGCTCGAAAAGGCTCCCATCTGCCCTTACAGCGGCATCCAGAGCAGACAGTGAGGGGGTGGCCGTCCTCCGGTGCTTCTGGCCCCTGCTGCCTTGGTTCGAGAAGCCAATTTGTGGATTACCTAGCAGAGGAGAGTCCTGTGTCCCTTGAGGCCTCCAGCCTCCAGGAATGTCCCCCAGAGCACGCAGATGCAGACGAATGTGCCTCCCACTCCCAGGCTGTGGAGCTGGGGGAGGCTTTTAAGATGCAGGCAGTATCTGGGAGTGGCAGGCAGCCACTTAGCATGAGCCGCTGTCGCTGTGCACTGACCGGGGATATGCGTGGCTTTGGAAAAGGGCATGGGGGGGGGTGTTGGGACAGTCAGTACGTGTCCGTGAGAGATGAGTAAGTGGAAGGTTGTGGAAGCCCCCAAGAGCCAGGACCAGTGCCCGTGGGAGCAAGTGTGAGAGTATGTAAGGGAATGTGCGTGAGGTGAGATGGGTATGGAGCAGCACGCAAGCTGGGAGGGATGTGTGTGTGTGTGTGTGTGTGTGTGTGTGTGTGTGTGTGAGCATGCACGCCAGAGCAGACCCTGAGTGCTCCTCATACGGGTGACTGACGCCCATGAGCCCTTCGCCTCACTCCGGGTCTGTCCCTACTCTCCTCCTAGCCAGTCTGTCAACCGCTCTCTGCCCCAGGAGTTGCTGCTGCAGAAACATCTGGGCTGGGAGAGGGAGCTGAACAGGGAAGTAGAGAAAGGGAAACCCGAGGCTGCCCCAGCCCCCAAACCCCACCATCCCCCTTCCCGCTAGTGGGCAGTGCACTGGGGACACAGGACTCAGGGCCCCCCAGCTCGGGCGATGGTGATGAGCTGGGAGGGCAGCTGGCCCTGAGGAGGAATGTTCCTGCCCTTGCCATGCTCAGATCCCTGCTGCCTCGTGCTCCTAGGCACGCTGGGGACACAGTGCTCACTGCCAGCCCTCTTTCTGCATCCCAAAGGAACCAACCAAAGGAGTCCTCCTCTCTCGGCCACTAGGTCGCTACACAGAAGCCCCCCACCCTAATCTTCCTGCGAGGAAAAAAGGTCCATTGCCCCGAGAGAACCAAGTGGCCCCTCTGAACGGCACCAAACAAATGACAACAACTCTCAATCCTGCAACGCCCCATTACCTGGAGATTTCCCTGCACTGCCAACAATGTCACAGCTCCTTCCCACCCAACCAGCATCTCTCCTTCTAGAACCTGAGTCAAGTTCTCCTGGCGGGCAGAGGGCCTGGCCCTGGTTAACTTATTGGGAACAGGCCCAGCCGCTTCTCTCCATGGGCACTGCCAGGGACATTACAACATCGGCTATGCTGGGCCCCAGCCAGCTCCCCCAGGGTTGGGAGGAGAGAGGATGCCAGACAGCCAAGATTGGTGGATGGGGGGGTAGGGCAGGTAGGGCCAAGCACCCAGATGTAAAGCGAGGGGGTGGAGCTGGGGCAGCAGCAGGCAGTCGACTTTGGTTGCAACTTGGGGGTTATGGCTGGGGAGCATGAACCAAGCCCTGTCTCCACTCTAAGGCTTACGGGTGGTAACCGGGGTGGGGGAGCTGGGGGCAGGTGTGGGATCAACCTCCTTGCTCCTCCCAGCTCCGCGGGGATTGGAGAGATGCCACTGGAGTCAGAAGGGTGGGCAATCCTTTTCGGAACGCTGGGAGTCCGGCCTTGGCAAGGACCCCTACATCAGGACACCCCCCACCCAAGTCAGAGAAGAGCAGTATCTCTGGAGACACAGTGGGGGATCGCAGCAGCAAGGGTAATGGGGGTGTCAATGATGGCCGGCCAGAGGTCGGGGAGCCAGGTTGGCCAGTTTCGCACCACTCACGAACCCACCGTCGCCTTGGGGAAGGATACTCAGTACTACCCCAGGAGGCCCCCAAGGATCTGCAGAGGCCCAGTCTGGAGGGCCCCTCTACTTTCGCAAACCTTGATGCCTCTGTCCCCAGGCACACCGCCCCCCACACTCCCCAAGACCGCCTGGCACCCCGGGGCTCACCTTCCGCCGGCCGCAGGCTCCGCAGGTCTGCGCCCCCCCGAGGCCCCGCGATGGAGCCGCGCCGCCCGAGTCTACGCTCGGGTGCGGGGACCCAGCTCCTCGCGACCCGGGTCCGCTCGCCGCGGCGCGTCTCTGGGGTTCCGGGGCGGCCGGGGGGCGGTGGCTGGCGGCAGGGGCTGCTCTGGAGGCGGGGCTCCCGGGGATCCTGCGGGGCCCGCGTCGCGCTCGCCGTCGCCGCGCCCGGTCGCGGGTCCCGCCGCCCGCTGCTCGGCTCTGGAGCGGCGGCAGGGGCGAGCTCAGCCCGGCCCGCCCCCTCCGCGTCCCTCCCAGCCCGGCCCGCCCCTCTCCGGCCCCTGCGGCCGCCCTCCCTCTCCCCTCTTCCGGGGAGCCGAGCCCGCCCTCCCGGCCTGGGCGGCGATGCGCGGCGCCCGGCGCGGAGGAGAGCGGGCTGGAGGCGCGGGGCTCGCCCTGGGCCCGCCTGTGCGCTGGGGCGGGGGCGCCTCCTCCTCCCGGCCGCGCAGGGCGGGCACCGAGGGAGGCTCGCGCGAGGGGGCCTGGAGGGGGCGGGCTGCCGGGCGGCGGGGAGAGGTGTTCAAACCCCCGGGCCGGGCGCGGGCTCCGCTCCCCGGGAGGGAAAGCGCACAGGCGGGCGGCCGATGCCCGGGACACGGCGGGGCACGGCGAGGCAGGGCAGGGCGGCGCAGCAGCCGGCCCGAACACCCGCGCCCTCTCCCCACCCCTGCTTTTCTGCTTCAACTCTAGGAACTAAACCCACTGTTTTAGTTCTTACTCAGGTTTAAACTAAGGTGGGCGTGAGCTGTGAAGAAGAGAAAGAAGGAAAAGAAGGGGGTGGAGGGAAAGACAAACTGAGAAATCTCAGAGGGTACGGGGGTGGGGTGGGGATGGGTAAGCAGCAGGGAGGGGGGGGCATCTAGGTTATGAAAGTGTCTCTGATCTAGCCTTAAACTCTTCTGCCTCTTCGTGACCCTGGATCTTGGTCAACGTTGGGGCTTCTGACTCCACCCTCCCCAAAGGGCTGGGAAGCCTGGGTCTGAACGGGGAAGTCCAGATGTAGGTGCCTGGCTTTGCATTGCCCGGGCAAGTCATGCACCTCTGGGTGCCTCCTCCCTCTGCCCACTCCCCGGGGAGAACACAGGGATCTGAGGCGTTAGGAGGTACTCAGCGGGT